CCCCCCGCCCCTCCGCCGCCACCCTCGCCCGTGGATGATTTGAGCACTACAAATGCTTCGTTAGAGCTATTAGTCATGAAACGGTTGCCGCGCTTGGCACGTGACAATGAAAAATTCTACGCCCAAGTTCGAATCGAGCACGACCGACCGTTTTGAGGGAGAGGACGGTATATGTGCAAAAAAACAGGCTGTTTTGACTGCTCTAGAAAACCAGACGAACATCCATGCTTGCGGGCGGGTTGCAACTTTATATTTTCATGCACTATATCTAGTTCGTAGTTTCAAAGACGAAGGAACGTAATCTCGATCCAAGGTTACAAAATTTACTCTTACAGATTAATTTTTTGAGAAAAATGACTGCGGAATTGCTGATGACTAAGTTATGCAAATGATTTAAAATAAAACACGGATATTTTTGTTGGAAGTTCTCAACAGCTCCATAGGATAAATATAACTTTAATGTGGTAACATACTTTTGTCTGGGAGACGATTTTAAAACTTAAAAAAAATATATTTGCGGGTAAAAACAATTTTCACCCGCAATTTTCCAGGTCTCCTCGGTCATTTTCTTCAGGGAACTTGGGAAAGAGTGGTCGAGCCAGATTTACGTAATTCAGAGAGAGGGTGTAGGGGTGGCTGGGGGCCAAAACGGCTTTCGCCATACTTGAACGGTCTTATATTCCTAGTAAACGTGAGTCAACCTAAACCTAACGTCTGACTATGTTTCATAAACAACCCTGGGTCAGTTTGAAACATAGTCTGACGTCAAGCAGACTCACTATTACTGAGGATAGACCCTACATCCCTCACGGTGGATCCAATCGAAAATTATGGTTCCACGTTGATTTTTTTAGCTGTGTGTCTGCGCTTTGCGCGGAGTTTCACGGCGTGGAAATCGCGACAACAGGGCGGGAAAAAGAAGATCTTAGGATATGACGACCCAAGCACTGGATTGCGCAATCTTCAGAAATAGCTCGGAAGCAACGAAGAACGAACACATTGGTGGCCAGGGAGGGAGGGGCGCGGGGTTCGCAAATCAAGTCACGTGGCCCCAGCCTGTGCAGCAGACCATATTAGTGGTGATGTCACGGTCAGTTCCTAATTATTATCCGTCCAGGACTCCAACTGCCGACCGTCTGCACGAAACATGGAAAATAAGCCCTTGATCGGGACCATGATAGACCTTTATAAGTCGAACATCTGCATGGGCGATTCTAGAGTACATTGTTGGAATCGGACCGTTTACTTTACGTTACTGCGTTTAATTCGGTTAATATAAAATGAAAAGTGCATACGACTGACGATGAGTATGCTTGCGTCCACAGCAAAAAGCCAGCTTCATACCAAAAGTGTTTTTCTTGCGCACAGACTGCTCTCTTGCAAGAGAACCCGGTAAAATCTGAGCTTCATTTTCTCATTTTGGGTTTTTGATGGTTCGCCAAAGTTGATTCATAAAAATAAAGGAAAATATTTGTTAGTCTATCCTACAAAGTGTCAATTCGTGGGAAAAAACTGAAAAATGTTCAATGAAGATACGACGTTTCTACTGTAGATAACAGTGCGGAATGGGGCAAATGGACCGAGTTAAATCGAAACGAGCCAACTCACGTGGACTCGCAGATTTATTTTGCCTACTGTATTTCCTTGATGAGAGCAAAGAGCATGGAAGTGATTAAAAAAAAAAGGGAAAAAAGCATTTTCTAACATTGCGGCAACACGGATGTATAAAAATGAGATGAAAATTGGTTTCCGAAACAAGTTACGAGTGTCCTGTTTTTTGTACCTCCAAAAAAAGGAGGGGACCTATTTTTAAGTGAGGTGTGGGGGGACGGTGTAGAATACATTAGCAATGTTGCCGTGACCGTGAATTTTACAATTTTTATTATATATAGCTCTCCATCGTCTTTCTCGCTTTTTGCCTAATAAATGTTTTTTTAATCACAAATCTTTCGTTCTTACAGTTACGGTCGCTTTCATGATAAAAATGTGATGTGTTCCGGCAAAAGGGCCCTTAAAATAGAAAAATATAAAAACGAGATGACTATGACACAGCTTGAAGGTTTTACTCATGCATAATTTGGCACAAAAGGCGCCTTTAAGTTCCGAAACTTGACCCTTTAAGCGCATTTCACAGTGAGGAGCAGATAAATTGCAGATTTACGAAAAACACATATAAAATTTGCCAACGCCGCACCGTTAACAGCTTTGGAAACGATACACCTCAAACGCTGATAACATCATTGATAATGCAACTGGTGACTTTTCAAAATTCTTAAGAATATTAAAACGTGTTCAAAATCAAAAACTGAAAATCGATAGCAATTATAGTTCCCATCGTGAGGGTTCTTATGCCTGAATTATGTCATATTAGGAATAAATTATTTCCTTTAAAAAATGTTGTGGATTAAAGTGACGTTAATCGTTCATTCGCAATTAGAGAAGTTGGACTTCCGACGTGAAAAAAGCTGAGATCATCGGGTATTTCCGCTGCCAAGATGACTGTGAGTAATCTAAGTACAGGTTCCCACCAGTTTTCCAACTCCGATCGCGCAGTACTCAAAAAGGTTCATGGATCAGCGATACCCCAACGAGACCTGGGGCCCCACAACCTTCGCATCTCGGTGACGCCTTGCTTGCGACGCCGGTCGCGTGTAACGTATGACGGAAGGATATTTGCGTCATTTTTTTCGGACAAAATTGCACGAGAAAGATCTAATATTATAACGGAGGAAGATCAAGGATACTCAGGGCCTATTTTGAACGCGACGCTTTTTCAGGCACTGTTGATCGTTCAAAGGGATAAGTAAACGTGATGGAACAATTTACTGTCCGCTACTTTCCCAAGAGGAAACAGTTTTTTTGAGGTTTTCTCGTGTGGAAGAAAAAGTTTTATCCATAGTACAAAAAAAAGTTTCGGGGGATCATCAGGGGGGAAAAAAAACCTCTCTCAGATGCATATTGAGGCTGTTTTTACGCAAAAATGATCGCAAGATTTACCTCTACCTATATAGGATAAAAAAAAAAAAAAAAATCTTGACTTCTCTCGGCATAATAAATTGAAACGAAAGAAATGTAACGGTTCTACGGCCATTTTTTACGGTGCGGATTGGGAAGGTCAGCTGATACTATTTTAAATTCATATGGGGGGTCATGATCAACTGACCTGGTCCTTTAGGAGCTAAGTTTGTAGCATTAGTAAACAAGTGTTTATACGATATTTCGCATGATTTATGAGACGAAGAAGAGAACGAAAAATTACAAGTTTTTATCTCTGTTATTTGTTTCGCAAGTTACATCCATTTCATTCAAAGATTCCTCGCGAAGAACTTGACATTTTGACTAACTCAATGCGTGCTCTAGAGGCATATCTTCGGAAAAGAGGGTGGATCGTTAAGTGACAACAAGGGGTACATCGCAGCGTTAGTGGTCAGCGAAGTGTCAGGAAACCGTAAATTCAGCGTTTTTCACGGTCGATCCCTTACGTAACTTTGAGGGAAGCTCGGAGCAGCGTTAAGGCGCAAGGAAGGAGGTCGAAAATCGGAAACCATTCGTTACGTAATAAATGAACCCATGTTTCCCACCCGAGCGCCCTCTCGTTGCCCGGGGGCGATAATACGAATCGTAATTTACAATGTCCTTTGGATTTGAATCATCGAGTTGCATAGTGCACTGGTCGGCCGGCGATATAGATATTATGTATGGCTGCAGTCTCCATCGCATTTGGCACTGGAGTCGGACGTTGCGTTTTACGTAATCGGCCGGAGACGGATGGAGAGGAGAGGCGGGCGGGAGGTGGCGGAAGCACCAAGGTTGACAACACGCTCGACACTTGCGCTTGACTCACTGTCGCACCGGAAAAAGAGCTGGATTCGAAGGAAAACAAAGCTCCCATCCAGCTCGCATCGCAGCACAGCGAAACGCTTCCCCGCGAAAATGACCGTCCCCCTTCGCTTTGAGTGACAACTGCGCAGTTTTCCGGATCGGTCGAGTAGCGTTTTTACCCTCCACTGAAAAAAAATTCTCGGCGTTTTTACCGAGGTCCGTTGGTACCTTTACCATCTCACCTTTTTTACCAATTATTGGTCATTTTACCAAGCCAGACTGGTAAGCTTACCTTAAAATCGGTATTTTTACTGTTTTTTTTTCAGGTAAGAATACCACTTTTATTGGTAATCAATTCCCGGTAAATTTGCCATTTTATCTCGGTAATTCTACCACAGTCGATAAAAAATATTGGCGTTTTTACCAGGGTCCAGTAAAATTACCAATTCCATAAATGGTAATTTTACCAAGAAAAAACTGGGATCAAATAGAACCCTGAATTCTTGGTACTTTTACCCTTTTCTTAGTAAGTACACCGAGATTTTTTTTTCAGTGTCTGAACGGGGGCATACGAACATTATGTAACATGCTTCATCCGTTTTTTGATCTTCCTTTCCTTTGTAATACGCGATATAAAAACGGCACTAAGGCTAGGTCTTCGACTGACATGCTCTAGAATGTCTTCAAATGTAAAAGAAAATCTCACCGAGAATTGGCATGGCTATGATGTTCGCATGCTTCTAGAAAACGGAATAGAGACGGCTGCCAAGACTGATACTCACCTAGAACAAACAGAAACGATCGAATTATTAGTAAGGGCCTTTATGAAACACCTGCAAAATTTTAACACAAAAAGAAAATATCCGTCGAAGAAAATCTTGCAGTCGCCAGCAAATTGCGAGTAGCATGCATGCCAACTCGCTAACGTGCAATATTTTGCGTCGACGTCGTGAAGGTTTCATTGGTGAATAACTCCAAAACCACGACCTCAGCTTCAAGCGCCTTCAAATCCTGCTGATACTCTTCGCATTGCCCGGGAGTTAGTTTAGTTGCCTATCCGGACCAAACCCAAGTAACAATAAGTTAATCGATTTCACTGAACGCACTTGCAATTATGCTAACATTCAAGGAGAAAGCCCGTCTGTTGGAATTCCAATCATAATACTCAGTATGCTTTCTAACTCGTTTCTTTATTACATTCCTTTATTCAACATCAAACGGTTGCAATTTCCCGGCAATTGCTAATTACCCGCGACAAATACAATTTATTTCATTACACCTATTGTTCTTAAAATTTTCTACTTCCCTTTTCAAAATTGAAGGGATTTAACTTAAAGCAAATCAGTTTACAATTCATTCTATATTGCCTAAATTTCTCTTATGTTTCCTTATGTTCTCTTATGTTTCTCTTATGTTAAAAAAAAACTAAACTATTTAACGCCTTTGAAATTTTTTTGAATTTACGCTAGATTATAAAGAATATTCTCACAAATTGCAAACAGTGTTGCTTAGTTTTTTTTTAATTTTAGAAATAAAATATCGGAGAAAATTAGGTGACGTCTGAAGTGGTAAGGCTGAATCCGGTACGACGGCGCGGCAGCGAATATTCATTAAACATAGAAAAACTGCTGACGAGCGAGAAATTCCTGGGAATTTTTCCGGATATCTTTAGTTTTAACCCTTGTTGACACTCAAAGAGAGCAACGTATTCTTCGCGGGGAAAATCAAGTGGCAACATAGAAAAACCTTGGCCTCATAACTTTGCGAGGCGATGCGCCGGGCCGGGATGCTGAGATAATCATATCACTCTCTGCGAACTTAGTAACTTCAACTTTCAGCGACGACGGAAGAGGAGCGCAAATAGAGCGATCTGCGCAGAGCGGCATGGAACGGAGCAGGGAGTCGAAGCCCTGCGAGTTCACGCCTCACCCCGTCGCGCCTTCAATTTTCAAGAGTGGCGGTAGCCACCCCCGGTCGAGGAAAATGACGTCCTACTAAAGTCCCGATAACAAACGGGTGGCCGACACTCTTAGTCACAGGCAACTCCCTTAACTTGAAAATTGATTCGATTGCCATTCGACTGCAGCCCAAACGACGGCACGGATTCCTACGATCTTGGTGTCTACGGACGCATCTCAATTAGGACTACAAAGTGGAAGAGTTTCAATAAGATCCATTGAGTTTTCAAAAAGTTATAAGCACTTAATGACCCAAAACAAGGAAAATTTTACTTTTTACTTTGCCGGGAAATTTGAATTTCAAGAATCCAGGGTACTGAGAAAGTCACTCAAACTCCGCGATAACGGTAAACCTTAGACCCATAAAAGTGGGTACCTAAAGAATCGTCATGTTACCGTGTCCACGGGTTTTTACAGTTTTGTAACATTCCTAGTGATCTTAAAGAGAAATTACGGAAAATACGACTAAACTGCCCGTCATGACCATCTTTAACAACAGATTTCTCGCTTACCCGGCCGCGGATTGTAATGGAGCCTATATAAAGGGCACTCCGTGAAGATGTGAAGATTTCATTTTGCCACATAAAAAAGCGCTTTATCTCACGGATAATCCAGCATCCGCTTACATCCTTCAAAATTTTAGCTATAATTTTTGAATTTAGAAAAAAACCAGTAATATAATGGTTCAACGCCATTGGTTCATTCTGTTCAGGTTCGTCCGAGTTTCGGGAACGAAATTCCTGTCGTCGTTATCAACCTCCATCTACTGTATTTATTTGTGAATAATGAACAGATGTAATTTAAAAGTTCAATTCATTTTAGATCCTAACTAATATTACACACTTATATTATTACGCCAACTTTTATCCCGATACGCTACTTCATTGGTTTCTTAAAAATCTCAAGTGATTTCTGGTCGGTCGTTGCCAACCTCTTTAACTAGTTGTGAATAGATTTACCTAATTTGGATAAGAGTTTAATTCTTTGTAGATGCTAACTACTATACTTACATATTCATATTATTACGTCTCACGTGTTCTACTGGAGCCCGATATACTATTACCTACCTTAGTTTCTCTTAAAATTTTCAAGTGGTATCTTTATTATATTGAACGAAAATGTGACAAATTTTTAAGTGAGGTTATGTCGTCATGTTTATGTCAGTACCTGACCTAAGCGATAGATGTAATTCAGGTAAATTACGTTAACGAAATTACACCGAAATTGTGCCAAACTCTAAAGAGGAAGCAGCATTTACATCACAGAATGCATGCTCGTGACTAAAGTCTAAAAATTACTGGAATATGAGCCTCGGCCTTCACATGCGACTGTCACTGAACTTCGACCAAAATTTATTCGCTCTTTATCTTGCCATCAACCTATGTGCTCTGGAGTGATTATGCTTCTCTGAAGTGTATGTTATTTACATAAAGAACATGTTTCCTTCATGATTTATCTTGGAATCCTCCTATCTCTTCTACCGTTCTTGTTACGCGTGGCTTGCGAACCTGAGTATGTGAGGCACAATTCCATCCCTTTTCGGAACAGTTCAATCATAGGTCAACTTAATGTCACATAATCAAAGGTCTTCGACTGTGAGCATTTGCTCAAATTGGTTTCTTCTGAGTCTCTTTGATTTTGCGTCAGGAGTTGTTAGAAACTTCATTTTGCCCAACAATGTATAACAAGGTCTTTAATGAAAGGTATGTACCCGTTTTATTCTCATAATTTCATAAGTTGATGATAAAAATACAATGAAGGCTTCATTTTCTTGCATCGATTACTGTGTGAAATGGGTGCGTCCATTCTTCCTCTGTTCAAAAGCGTAACAGAATAAATTGCTTATCTGTTACGAGGACTACAGTAGTAAGATTCGTAGGTACGTGTTCCTGCCTAGTTCCATTGGAATAAGTGTGATCGTGTTAATCAAGGCTAAATACAATTAGACCCCATGGTATCAATGTAATCATAAATGCCTCTCCACTCTTACCAACTAGGTGCGGCATATCCTCCGATCAAGAGATGGAGATTGCCGTCTCAGTAGGTACGAGGGTGAGCTTACGAACCCAGGTATGGTGACCGTAAGTACCGCTTTGGCCTCTCACATTCAGATGAGCCTTTTTTTCTAATGAACTCATGCCAATACTTAGATCTCCAGACTTATTTACTACATTAAGAACACATAAGATAATAAATTAAATAGGTCAAGTCAGTTGTCAATCTTTATACCAAGTGCAGGTACCAACATAATTTTTTGTTATTGGTGGGACAAAAGACACTAGCTGCAACGCAGCGATTCATAGATTTAATTGTTCCCAACCGATCCGTGATTTGGCGTCAATCCTTTGGATAAAAAGATCACGATAGTTCCATTATTAATAATTAAAAACATCATTTAATTTGACAACAGTTCTGTGTGCGTTTCCCACTGTCTGAAGTTCAGTAAAAATAAGGACTCAATTGTGGTGGCCACATTCTCATGATGCAGTTACATCTAAACCAATGAACACCTGCAGATTCGTTTCAGAATCAGCATTGGTGCGCTCTCTCGCGGCTAACGCCGGAACCCTAGTTTTCACTTTCACTTTTCTCCACCAGGAGCGCTGAGTAGCACTCTGCTTTCGTTCCGGTTCTCCGATTCGCTCTGAACCATAGAGTACAATAGAGTCGCAATGTACTGGAGCGCCGATGAAGTCAATCCATTAACGGGCCTTTCCGAGCCGCTTGTGCTCCGAAAAGTGTGAACCCGACGGCACTTATCATCATTGTGGCTTATAGAGAAATCAAGAACTACTTGTGTTTTTTCGACATTTTTAATTCAATCATCATTAATTTTTGCAAATTTTGCTGCAAACGGGTAGTTAAAGTCATAGTGAATCCATTAATGTATCATACTCTTGAATAATATTCCAAAAAGGAAGTAAATTGAGACTTAAACCAAGTGTGAACCGACAAGCATTTCTTATCACGGCGGCTTACGGGAAAAGCAACGACTGCTTGTGTTTTTTCGACATTTTTTAAGTCAATCGATGTTAATTTGTGTAAATTTTGCTATAAATAGATGGTCAAAGCCATAATAAATCCATTCATGTATGTTACTCCTGGATTTTATTCACATAGGGATTTAATTTCTGACTTATACAAAGTGTGAACCAAACCGGCATTTCTAACATGGTGGCTTATGGAGAAATCAACAACACTGCTTGTGTTTTTTCGACGCTTCGGTTTTGCTAGCTCTTCGTACAGCCAGACCTTTAGGTACTTATTCACCCAAAAACGACCTGATATAAACTACAAAAACCCTCAAAAACATTTTTCGGGCAAAAAATCCGGTCGAGGAAATTGACGTGTCACTTCCTTTTAATCAAGTATAAGATAGGCAAAAACCTTTGATGAATTCCCAAGGTCCACTAAGACTAATAATCATCAAAAAGTTCAAAAAAAAAATAAATCCCTTGCCAAAAATAAATAAAAAACCGATTTTGAGATAAATCCCTCGAATGAACTTGAAATCACAAAATCGGTCGAGGATGTCAACTGAAATTTTTCCCCCTTTAATTATGAGCTCCGCAACAAGCGTGACTCGCTTGTACCTTTTCATACACGAGCCGCACGAATTCATCTCTTCTTCTCTCCTCTCCTTCCGTCCATGGACAGAGGTCCAAAATTTTTCGGATTTACTGACGCGACCGGCTGCGGCTCGGTGCGTAAACATGGGTGGATTATACTAAGATGACACATAAGTCAGAGAGAAACACGTACAACCTGTCGACTTAAGTGGGGCTCATTCCGTGAAGGGACTCAACTCCTCCACTATAACAATTCCACTAATAATTTTGCGATTCAGAAATCC